TAAGAGGCCCTGACAGGCATCACACCCTCCCCACTTCTGTCCCCTCGTCCCACCGAATAAGTCCCACTGAAAAAAGTCTTAAGTAGAGTTTGTCTTCTGGGACTTGGCCGGGTGTTCCCTGTCATTAGACTAGAGGCTCCCCAGTTAGAAGGATTTTAGGATTTAACGACAGAAAGAACTTTATATACAACCCTCCAGGTTAACCCCCTTATTTTACAAAGAGGGAAACAGAGGCTCAGAGAGGAAAAGGGTGGAAGCAGAATCTGAACCCAGGTCCTCAGACTCCAAACCCTACCTTGTCACCTCCCCCAGGACTCTGAGGGGACCAGGGGGAAGGGGCAGACACATGCTATCTCCCCCCATCAGACACATGCCCACAAGTCCCCTTGACTTCCCACCTGGAAAACCTGACTTCCTTTCCCCTCCAACGCTTCTGCCTCTGACCTCCTCCCTCCCCCCTTCCTCCAGTGCAGGAGGCCAGGAAAATGCAAATGACTCACTCTCCCCTTTCCTGCACCCCCTCCCCCTGGTCTGGGAAGAGGGAGAAGGAAGCTGGGGGCAGAGAGGACCTCAAGGAGCTGAGGTGTTACCCTTCGGGTTCCTAGTCTTTAAGAGTCAGAATTCAGGGAGGAGGCCTGGGGCGGGGGGAGAACACCACTGGTGAGAGAGGAGGTTTTGTTTTCATTAAAAATAACGGGTGGGACTGAAAACACTGTTCTAGTGAATGAAATCATGCAACTTTAAAAAGTCTGTACTTCCCCTGTGGTCACCTGGCTGCCAGGCCTGCCATGCCAACCCCAACCACACCCAGGCAGGCTCCAGCCGGGAGGCTGGGGATGTCCAAGTCACTGTCACATCACCCATCACCAGCCTCCAAAGAGAAAGCTGGAATGTGGCTGGGGGCCAGGCAGTGGCCATAGGGAGGGAGGAGGGAGGGAAGGCTGCATTCCAGGCCTGAGCCCAGCTGAGCAAGGCAGGATACTGGCGCAGGCACTTGGGAGGAAGGAGGGGGATGAGACGGCCAGCTGGCTCCCCTTCCCCTGGGCATCTACCAGGGGCCAGGGGCCCCATCTCCCCATGGTGGGGGGGGCCTCACCCACCCCAAAAGCCACAACCTGCAACCCCTCCCCAGGCTTGGAGCTCCTGGACACTCCCACCAACCAGCCTCCTCATGGCTCCAAGGCACTGGCTTCCCTCTGGGCTTCAGTGTTACCCCTCCGTGAAATGGAGCCATCACACAGGCCTAAGAGGTTATCATCATCATTCATTATAAACCAAACAAAAGTGAGCCCTGAGTCTGGCACAGTTCAGTCCACTTTATGACACAGACATACCCTCACTCAGTTTTACCGACAATCTCACAGTCTTTGTTATCACTTCTAGACTTCTTGGATATTTATTTTAACTCCTATGTAAATAAATATAATTTTTTTAAAGGCAGTTGGGGTTAAGTGATTTGCTCAGGGTCACACAGCTAGTAAGTGTCAAGTGTTGGGTCTGAGGCCAGATTTGAACTCAGGTCCTCCTGACTTCAGGGCCAGTGCTCGATCCACTGTGCCGCCTAGCTGCCCCAGTAAATATCATTTGATAAGCCTGAGACAAAATGGGCCTCTTTCCCTCGACCTCTGAGGTCTGCGAAGCTTTTTTACAGACATCAATCAGGTCTGGGGAGTGAGGCAGTGAGGCAGGTGCTGTCCTTATCACCCCCATTTTGCAGATAACAAAAGTGAGGCTCAGGGCCACACAGTTCCTAAGTGTCTGGGAGGGGACAAATCCAGGGTTTCCCAAAGAAGTGAGCAGACAGATTGCCAGCCCTGGAATCAGGAGGGCATGAGTGCAAACCTGGCCTCAGACACGTACTAACTGTGTGATCCTGGGCGAGTCACTTCACCCTGTTTGCCTCAGTTTCCCCATCTGTCAAATGAGCTGGAAAAGGGCATGGCAAACTGCTCCACTAGGGCAGCTAGGTGGCGCAGTGGATAGAGCACCAGCCCTGAAGTCAAGAGGACCTGAGTTCAAAAGTGGCCTCAGACCAAACACTTGACACTTATTAGCTGTGTGACCCTGGGCAAGTCACTTAACCCCAACTGCCTAAAAATAAACAAATAAATAAAACTGCTCCAAATGGGGTCACAAAGAGTCAGATATGACTGAAACAACAGAACAACAACAAAGTGGAGCAGATGGAGGCCCCTGTCTCTCCTCTGGGGAGGGGCGACCTCCACTCACCTACCCCAAGGACAAGTGAAGAGTGGTAGGTTTCAAAGAGTTCCAGAACCCACTGGCCTGGGCCTTCCCAAACCCTCCGGCAGGGGCTGAGCGCCTGCCAAGCTGTCCAGTGATCCACTCTGGCGGGAAGGGGATGTGGGGCGCCGGGCCCAGACAGAGCAGAGCCCCCAGCTGAAAGGGGTGGGGGGTCCAGGTGATCTGGGAGGAAGAGGGCACAGGGCAAGCCAGAGCCTCCAGCTGTTAGCTGTGGTCAATGTCTACCAAAGGTTTGAGTCTCCCCAGGCTGGCCCAAAGACAGGGTCCAGCCCCGCTCCAACCTCCAGGTGGCTCAGACATTAACACTTAAGCCTCCAGCCTCCATCCAGCTGCTAGCTCTCAGTAAACAAACCCTAGACTAGACCCAGGAGCTGGGGGGAGAGGATAATGGATAGAACCCCCACCTAGAGTTCAAATGCAGTCTCACCCCGGCCAAATCCTATCACCTGTCTGGGCCTCACTTTCCCCATAAGAAAAATGGGGACAATAATAGCACCATACCTCACACAATCGTGGTGAGGAGCAAATGAGAATATAAGTGAGGTGCTTTGCAAACCTTAAGATGGAAATGCTAGCTATTATTAGCTGCTATTACACCTAAGAAATCTTTCATCAAAGAGAGATCCTGTAGACCTCCCAAAGGATCCTCTCCATCTGTCGGGGCTCAATGGGGAGGCTGGGTCAGACTCCACATGGAAACTGCCCTCCCCGCAAACAGGACTGAGGCCTAGTCTGAAATGGGTTTAGGAAGAGGGAGGATGAGCTTGAGACCCTAGGAGACCCCTGATTCCCACCCTACCCCACACCACTCCCTCAACCAAGAATGGGGCATCAGGGCAGAGGAATACATGTAGGCCCTGGTCAGACGGGAGGCCAAGGGTCTGGTCTGGCTGGCCCAGCAGGAGAAAGTGAGAACTGGGGGTGGGGATGGGGGGACTGGAGGTCTCAGAATGATGGAGCTCCCCAGCTGGGGGCCCCTCCTGGCCCAGATCACCTCTGAGCTGCTCCAGAGCCAGGAAGGAATAGGGGGAGACTAACAGAACGCTGGCCCAGACACCCCGGCAGCCCAGCTGGGTGATGCAAACAGACCACGTGATCCCCCATCCAGCCTCCTAACAAAAAGTCAGGAGGGAAGAGGGAGGGGGAGGACCAAGTCAAAAGCCAGCCTTGCCAGGGATGGGGCCCGAGACTCACGGCGCAAATTCCTTTCCTTAGACACAGGGGCTTTCTTCTGCCTTGGTCTTTTGCCTACCCTGGACCCCCACCCCAAGCCCCTGCTGCCCTCCCCAGAAAGCTCTCCCAGGAGGCTCCCTCCACTGACACCTGCAGGGATCCCGGCCCTGCTCAGCTGTTGAGGGGCTGGCGATACCTCAAGGGTGGATTCCTGGGAAGGCACAGTACAGGGGACCCAAGTACCTGCTGCCCCCCCAGACTCACTCCCCCTCCCCAGACCCATCTGCTTAAAACCTGGGTTAAAAACAAAACAAATCCTTTTCCCATTAACCACACACAGATGCCCTGCAGCCACCTTCCTCCTTCCCAAACCAGGCACTCCTCTCCCCCAGGGGCCCCTGGAGAGGAAACGGACTCACTGTCTGCAATGTCAGCTGGGGGAAAGAGGAGGGCTGGTCTGAATCCACCACTGCCTACCTTCTTTCCAAGGCCAGAGGGAAGAGCCTTGGGGTTGCTCACTGTGAGGACATCCACTCCCCAAGCTGACTGCCCAGGGGCTCTCCCTCCACAGGGGCCAGAGAGCACCCCCTCCTTAGCCCGGTTCCTGGCTGTTACCTGGTCCCCAATCAACCTGCTGAGCCCTTGGCCTCTCCCTGGTCACTGCCCCCACCCCAGCTCTTGCCACAGAAAGACTAGGATGAGGTCATTTGACCACTGTGGGTCACCGTTCATTCCAGCCCGGCGAATCTACCTCTGGAGAACTACCATCAACCCCCCCCCCCAAACACACACACCAAAGGACTAAAGCACCAGGCTGGGAGGCGGAAGACCCTGGTTCAAGTCCAGCCCTGGGCCAGTCAGTCCATCCAGTGCCTGCTCAAAGAAAGGGCCAGGGGAATGGGAACAGGAGGCAAACAGAAAAGCATTTTCTCGGCTTCCAGGAGTTACAATCCATCCCAGGAAGAGAGCTCTCACTCACTGGCTGGGAGGATGACAGGCTTCCTGGCCGAGGTAGCAGTCCCCGCCCCTGGGCCGATTAATAGCTCTTGGGATGCTCCTCACCGGAGGCCTAGTGGTCCGAATATGGGCCTTGGGAGTCCTGAAGTTCTGGGTTCCAATCCTGTCTAGTTCTGCTCCTACAAAGTGGGTGCTATTGTACACTAATTCACTGGCTGTGTGAACACGCGAGAGTTATTTAACCCGTCTGAACCTCAGTTCTCTCCTCCGTAAAAGGAAGGTGTTGGCCTCCACGGCCATGACTTGGGGAAACCTTAAAGTCCTAAATGAACGGGAGCGAACCGGCTGCCAAAAAGCATTCACAAGTTAACGTCCGGAAAAGGCTGGGGAAGAAACACACACACACGAAAAATAACACTACTAATGGAAGGGTCGCAACCACAGCAGCGCTCTCGCCACGTTCTCTCATCCCAGCTGGCTGTCAGCGTCGGCGGCGCCGGCCGCTTCGGGAGGACAGACCTGCCGAGCGCACGCACAGGCTGGAGGGCCCGCCCGACGCTGGGTAGCCTCCCTAGCCCCCCGCCGGCCCGGGGCAGGGCACTCACTGCGTGTGCTGGGCGCGGCCCTGGCGGAAGACCTCGTCCAGGGCCACGATGGCCTGGCCCAGGAACTTGTCGATGCCGATGAGCGAGCGGTGCATGGCGGTGAGCACGAGCTCGCAGGCGGGCTCGGCCGGCGCCGGGGCCGGGGCGTCGGGGGCCGCGTCCTGCGCCCGAAGCAGCCCGTCCAGCGCGCCGGGGGCCAGCTCGAAGACGCACTCCTCGCGCCACTCGGGGCAGCCCGTGCTCTTCTCCACCACCGACGTGCTGTACTTCTCGCGCCCCACCTGGATCACGGTGTACGCGTCGCTCGTGCTGCTGCCCCCCGTGCCCTTGCCCCGCAGCCCGCGGGCCTGCAGCACCGTCACCTGGACGTGCGTGGGCAGCCAGCGCGCCGGCCCGCCGGGGGGCTCGGGGCTCCGCCGCAGGGCCATGGCCGCGCCCGCGGACCCGCGCCCCGCGAGCCGAGGAGCGCGCCCCGCGAGCGGGGGCCGGGACAGGGCCTCAGGAGGAGCGGCCCCTGCAGCGGCGGCGGCGGCGGCGGCCGCCGAGCAGCAGCGCCAGGGGTCGAGACGCCCTCCGCTCCCTCCGCTCCCTCCGCTCGGCTCGTGCTGGGCGCGGACTGACGTCACCGCCGGACACGCCCCCTCCCGGGCCCGCCCCCCGGACGCGGCCCCGCCCCCGGACACGCGCCCGCCTCTCACCCTGCCGCCGGCAGGGCCCGGCGGGCCCGGGCGGGGGCGGAGCCGGCGAACCGGTGGGCGGGGCAGGTTAGCCCAGGGGCGGGGCCTGAAGGGGGCGGGGCCGGCGATGCGGTGAGCTGCAGTGCAGAGCAGAGGGGGCGGGGCTGGGGAAAAGCGCCTCCGTAACGTTCTCGGGGCGGGGGGGAGGGGCAGAACGGAGCCCGAGTCGAGCCGAGGCTGCCCCGCCCCCCCCTCCCCGCTCTGTGGACATGGGAGAGGGTCCCCCTCTGCGGAGAGAGAGGAGGGGGGCACAGAGCCGGCCCTGCCCCTCCCTCCCTCTCCTCTTGCTCCTCCTCTTCCACCCTCCTCTGCCTTGTCTTCCCCTCCCTTGCCCTCTCCCCTCCCCCTCTTCTCTCCTCCCCTACCTTCCCCTTTACCAACCTTCCCCTCCCCTCCCCTAATCTATCCTCTCGCACCCTACTGTCCCCCTCCCCTGCTCCTCCCTTCTCCCTCCCCTCCTCTTCTCCCACCCTCCTTGGCCTTGTCCTGTCCTTCCCCTCCCCTCCAGTCCTCTCACCCTCCCCTCCTCTACTCTCCCCTCCCCTACCTTCTCCTCCATCGTCCCTCCCCCCTCTCCATTACCCACCTTCCTCTTTCCAGATCTCCCCTCCTTACTCCTCCCCTCCCCTCCTTACTCCTCCCCTCCCTCAACCCATTCTCCCCTACTGTACCCCTCCCCTGCTCCTCTCCCACCTCCCCTTCCCTCCCCTCCTCTCCATCTCTTCTCTTCCTCTCTCCAGCGCTCTCTGCCCTGACCCCAGCGGGGTTGTGAAGGGGCCCGCCCTTGAGTCCCTGGACTCGGGGCCTGGGAGACCAGCTCTGGAGGAAAGCACTGAAACAGGTCCAGACCACAAAGAGGGGGAAGAGCAGTTTGGTGCCATGGAAACAGGCTGACTTTGGAGTCAGCTGAGCGGGGTTCAAATTCTGACACTGTCTCTGGCAACCCATGTGACCTTAAGCAATCAATCAGCAGTCATTTGTGAAGAGCCTACAGTGGGTGCCTTGGAGTCTGTACGACCTGGGTTCGTGTCCTGCCAGAGCTGGACATTGTTCATGCAGGGGTCATGACTCGGTTTCCTCATCCGTAAACAGCTGCTAAGGTCAATCAACAAGCATCGATTAAGACAAGACACCACCCCCACGATGTCATTGATTCTGTTTAAAAACCAAGGAGAAACAAAATGGAGCACCTATTAAGTGCCAAGCCAGCCCCTTCCAACGCCTCTAATTCTACGGGCTGGGAAGCTGCTTCACCTCTGTTTTCTCATGTGTAAAATGGCTTGGGTCTCCTCGAAGTTCTCTTCCCTCCTTGATTAGGATTCTGAGGTCCTTGAAGGCTGTGCAGGTTGGGGGGGAGGGGCACACTACCAAAGTGGGAAAGCTTCTCATTTGGACTGACCACTGGCCTGGCGAGGGGCTCCCCAGCAATTTGGACAAAGGGTGATGAGCTTTGCAGCCAACGAGAGTCCAGATCTGCCTGGCTGGAAGGCATTCTCAGGCTGCCCAAACCTTTGTCTTTGGAATACTCAAGCGGGCTAACAAGCATTTCAATACTGCTTTATACACTCTTCATTTGATCCCTACAATCATCTTTGTGCGAGGAGGATTGCCCTCATTTACAGGTGAGAAACTGAGGCAGGGGAAGGGGATGACCTAGCACCTCACCCAGTTAGGCTTAGCGCTGCTAGAGACCTCAGAATCCACCCCTCCCCCCTCATTTTGTCTTCTGACTCCAGAACCCGGGACTCTTCCCTAGCAGCCGGCTCCTTTGCAGAATAACTCACATCTCTGTGGCACTTTTCAAAGTCACAGCAACCCGGGACTTAGATAGTTCTAATGGGCTTATTCCCATTTTAGAAATGAGGAAACTGAAAATAAGTGACTTGCCTAGGGTCATTCAGCTAGTCATTGGCTAATATTCTGAAGCCAAATCTTTCCAAGACTCTACTCCATATTCAACAGCAAGATTCCTGAGGACAGGAGAGAGTAGCTAAAAGGGTGTGGGTTTGAAACAAGTCTCGGTCTCTTAGTTGTGTGCCTTGGGCCTCCTAACAGTTAACCTGTTTGGGCTTCAGTTTCTTCATCTGTAAAATGGGGTCCCTTCCTATCAGTGCTGCTGAGGTCCTAGGATGCTCCAGTCTGCTTACCTTGATTAACCCAGACCCACCACTAGGGACCTTCGCAGCGTATTATCAGTCATCATTATCAACGACATACAGTACTTGAAACCCCCGCCCACCCCCCCCACCCCAATCATGGCCCCAATTCCAGGAGCTTGGGGAGTTAACCTAGAACAGGGAATGTGTTCAGGAGCGTAGAGATGGAGGGAGCAGAGCCATGCAAGCAAGGCACAGCCAGCGAGAATGGGACAAGAAGCAGCCAGCTCATGAATAAATGAATAAACACATTAATATTTAAATGTTCTCCCTGAGCTCAGGAATTAGTGTTTGGAGCCTGGAGAGACGGGGAGTTAGAGCTGCTGGCTGGCCTTGGTCCTCCCCAGGAAGCCCTGGCCATAGGCAGAGATAGCACAGTGACATTCAGTGACCTCTAAGGTCCATTCCAGCTCTAGGGATAGCTCCCAATTTGTACTTCCCTGCCTGATGGAGCTGGGACCTCCTTCCACTGATGCAGATTGCAAACTCCCCACCCCCACCCTTGTGCCTGGCTGTGCAGGAGAGAATCGTGTTGAGGTGCGCCCCTCAGTTTGCCCCAGGGGGTGCATCCAACATATTGAGGGCCTTCCTCTGTTTTCCCTGACCTTGCATAGACGCCAATGGAGCAGGGAGGCTGGCCATGGGCCGCACCACCTTCGTGACCTCTTTTCTGCTGGCTGAACATTTATCTGATGACATCCTTATCACCAGCCTTCTAGTGTCATTCTTCATTTTTAATGCCACAGGCTGCTCACGCCCACCATGACCCTCTCTCCGAAAGGGCAAGAGCAAAGAGAGAAGTAGGTCGTGAGATCATGGAGTCCATCTAGGCCAAGCCTCTCATTTTGCAGATGAAGAAACTGAGGCACAGAGAGCCAAGATAGAACATTCGGCTTGGAGTCAGGAGAACCTGGGTTCATATTCCGCCTCTGACACTTACTGGATGGGTAACCCTGAGCAAGTCACCCAAGCTTTCTAAATCTCTGTTTCCTCATCTATAAAAAAGGAAGATCCTAGAATTCACTTCCCAGCATTGTTGTATGATCTTGGGCCTCCTAACACAACTTTTCTGGGTCTCAGTTTCCTCATCTGTAAAATGAAAGGGTTGGGCTGATGGCCTCTGGGGTCCCTTCCCTGCTTTAGAACTAGGATCCTGTGATGATTATTTGGGTGGTCCTCAACTTTCATTCTTCAAAGATCATGGCATGCCATGACTCAAAGCCATGCAAAACCTTCAAAAAAACAAAAAATGATTCCCATGGAAAAGACTGCAGTCATCAGCATCCCACCTGCCCCTGCCCCTTCCTCACACACAGAAACAACTCTCATCCTGGGCCTGATTCTGCCCAAGGGGAGTGAGCACTGGACAGAGTTAAGGCATTCTCCTTGGAGGTCATACACTAAAAGGTCTGAAAAAGGTTTAGCCTGCAAGCTTCATCAGACTCAATAGTGTGATACGGCTACTCAGAAAACTCCTGGGATCTCAGACTACAATCAGAGAGGTGTCGTGTCCAGAACCTGAGAGGACATAGTCCAGGATCCTCTGCCCCAGTCAAAGGGCCTTGGGAGTGTCATGGTGTGTTCTCAGCAGCATATTTTAGGAAGGACACTGAAAGGCTGAAAAGAGCAAAGGGGATGGCCACCAGGACAGCAAAGCTGGTCAACATTCTGCTAGGGTCAGTTGCAGAGGAGCCTGGAAAAGAGAAGCCTTGGGTAGCACTGTCTACCTATTTGAAGGGCTGCATTAGGAAAGAGAGATTGGGCTTGTTCTGATTAACCCAAGAGAACAGAACTGTGAAAAACAGGAGTCCATTTGAATGGCAAGAAAAACTTTTGGGGCAGCTAGGTGATGCAGTGGAGTCAGACACTTGACACTCACTAGCTGTGTGACCCTGGGCAAGTCACTTAACCCCGATTGCCAAAGCAAAAAAAGCAAAAGAAAAGAAAAAAGGAAAAACTTTCCAAAAGTAGGACTGGCTGCCTTGAGAGATGGTAGGCTCATTCACTGGAGGTATTTGAACAAAGGATGGATGACTAACTCCTGTCAGGGATGATGACAATGGGAGATTCTTGTTCCAATCTCAACAAGGTCGTTTGTTTCTGAGGCCCCTTCCAGCTGGGACATTCTGTAATTCTGAGACTCAGTATCAGCTCTGCCACTAGCTTGGGTAAATTGCGTCCCCCCCTTCAGGCTCATACCTACAAAACCAGTTGTTATTGTTGTTATTTTTAACACCAGTTTTCTCACAGTGATATTGAATGCTTGCAAATCATGGATCACCCCAATCTGTAAAGAATCTAAGTTCTTGGGGCAGCTAGGTGGCGCAGTGGATAGAGCTCCAGTCTTGGAGTCAGGAGGACCTGAGTTCAAATCCAGCCTCAGCCACATGACACTTACTAGCTGTGTGACCTCGGGCAAGTCACTTAACCCCGATTGCCTCACCAAAAAGCAAAACAAAAAAAACCTTCCTTTGTAACAAATAAGTGTAGTCATGAAAAACAGAAATCCATAAAAATGTTTGTACCAAGTTTCTCTGATAAAAGTCTCATTTCCTGGGGCAGCTAGGTGGTGCAGTGGATAGAACTCCGGCCTCAAGGTCAGGAGGACCTGAGTTCAAACAAACCTCAGACA